ACTGTAACAAAGCTAGTGGCTTATGTCAGATTGTCCCATTTTTGGTGATTATGTTTAGTCACTGAATGAAGGTGGAAGCCACCAATATGTCTTTTACAAAATAGGTTTGTTCTACCTCTAATCTGTGAGGCAATACTTTGAAGACACAAATGTGATTCCCTGGGCAACTTGGACATTTCTTGATGCCGATGTTGACCTCACTTCACATGTTGTGGGCTAAAGATGATGACCGTCTCATTCTATCACCTTTTCCACACTTATGAGCGTAAAGAGCTCCCACTTGACAGGATGAGAGCAGGTCGAGGTAGGGCAGGGTATTCCAGATGGGACAACACAATGAGCAGAAGCGCAGCCCAGAGAAAGACAACCCAGGTGTGAAGAGAGGATCTGCTGGAGCAGAGCAAGTGTCCATCTGACTAGGCAGGGGTGCGGCAGGAAGTGGAGCTAAATGGAAAAAAAAAATTGAGATCAAGAGAAGAGACCGTGAGAAGAAGACAACCGGATTTTAAGACCATGGGGAGTTCCTACGTCCGTATCAGAGCCCAAATCCACATTCAACCTCTTACAGCTATCTCTGAAGATCACAAGTGTCCTAGTTGCCTGTTAAGTAATGTCTTCAAGCACTTTCTATTAATGTGTGTTCCGTGGCCTAGTATTTGGCTTAGCTAGAAGCTAACTAGAACCTCAAGACCCAAGACCCCATCTCAGACCCAGTGAATCAGAATCTGCATTACATGAAGATTCCCCAGGTGGTAGGAAGTCCTTGAAAGTAGAAGCAGCACTGCTTTAAGTCACTGATCCAATTCCTACTTTCACAGACTGCGTGAAACCGTGGACCCCCACAAAAAAAAATAGTCTTTTTCACAGAGGATTCTCTATAACTGCTATTCACTGAATGCCCAGCGTTATCCTGCCAGATCTAGGGAGGAAACAAGGCAGAGCACTGAAGAGTATTGCCTTCGATGCCACTATCCCTGAGTTTGAATCCATTGTCTGCCATCTATCACTTGTGGGACCTTTGCGATCATTATTCCACTTCGTTAAACCTTAGTCCCTAACTCCTGGAATCAAGGTAAAGGTCAAATAAGATGACGCATGTAAAAAGCAGTCTCAGGAGTAATCCTCACTGCCCTGAGTCATCTTTTGTAAATGGGAAGGGGACCAAGAGATGGAGGGAGGACAAGACAGAGAGGGAAGGGGAAGCAAAGAGAATTGCAATGTGTTATGTGCATGTACCAGCTCCCCAGGACGAATGTGATCATAATGCACTGCAAACATGGACTAATCAAAATTTACTTTAAAAGGAGCTTGCTCATGTTAGCTTGAAAATAATAGAGATTCCATGGACCATGAGCCAGAACTCACCTTACAAGACAATGTAAGGACAGAGAAGGGGATATGAAACTCCCCATAGCATATTCCAGACATTAGTTCCCTTGGTCATTTCCAGCTGCAGAGGACGTTTGAATCAAAAGCAAATTTGAGAGCTGATTGCACCTGCGCATCATTGCTCTGTGAAAGGAAATGAGTCTTCCAAGGTATGGGGGCAAATTAAACACATCATAAGAATCAAGGAAGTTTCTCAAAGAGCTCTGATTCTCAAGCAACTGCTAACACTTTCCATACATTATCTCATTATGTCTGCAATAATCCAGTGGAGGGAAGTGTCGCTAGCCCTCTCATCTCAGTGATTAAGAGAGAGAGAAAACAATTCTAGTCAAAGAAGATGATCTGGTTGGGGACAAACAGGCTGAATATGATCGTTCTTCCTTCCATATACAGAGAGAAGGTCAGTATTGTTGGGATACCTAGCAGGCATAAGCAGGGACTTCAAAATAAGGAAGTGCGCTTAAGGAAGTTTATCGAGTGTAGTAACCATGGAGATGGAGTTTTCTGAGCTACTTAATGGAACTGAGAATGACGACCTGGGAGGGTCTGTTCATTTACATCTGCGTCAAATCTGTGTACTACAGTACTCCACACCAAGTCACTGAGCAAAATGGTTCATACCTCCCCAGCCAGGGTCCAAATGCCCCAGTGAGATTTGGAGTAGAATTCTAAAACCGGGGAACACCTTGCCAGGGAATAGTTGATAGACAGCACTCAGTCCAGTTCTGGGTCACAAAGAGCCTTCAATACACTGTAACAGCCATCTCTTTAGAACCTTTTCTCCACCCTCAAGTGCAAGGACTGCATAGGGAAGGGGAAAGGAGAGAGGAATAAGCTTTTCCACCCTCTGTTTCTGAAAGCAGCATCTATCCCGGGACAGTGAAAAGTACACTGGAGAATTTCAGGCCAGGTTCTACCGCTGACTCATGAGTGCCTTGGTTTCCTCCCTCTGTCAAATTAGCTTGGACTGAAAGATGTCTAGGTTTCCCTCTGGCGCTGACTCTCTAAACTTGTCTACTGCTGGTAGCTAGTAGAAGCTCTAAAGATCTGTGCTCTTCTGGTTGAGGACAGACACGTTTTGGTCAGGGATTCCTGGGCTCTGGATGAAAGTTTAAGCAACAAGATTCTCTGCCATATTGATGTGCTGTGGGTTTGACATCACCTTGTCTGACATTTAGAATCCAGGAAGCATCAAATGAGGGAGAAGCGAGGCTGTCTCTGGCCACCATGTAAATTAGCTCCTTCTCCCCAATACTGGCTCACACAGCTCTGCTGCTTCAAATGTGCTCTCTGGGCCAGGGATATTGGCATCAGCTAGGAGGTGGTCAGACATACAGAATCGCAAGCACTACCCAAACCTACTGAATCAGAATCAGCATTTTAATGTAAAGATCTGAAATGATTTATGCCCACTATTATGAGATTTTTATTATGATTGTGATTATGATTATGATTATGAGAAGCACTACTTTTTATTTTAAAGAGAGAAGTAAATGAGAAACAAACAAAGAAACAGAACAGTAGCAACATACCAGTATCACAAACATAGGCAAATCGAAGCAAGAACATTCAAAGCGATACAGCGTCTAAAGACAAAATAATACGAATCAACAGTGGTTGTTACATTACATATCGCTATCCTCAATTACACTGCTCAGATTACCAGAGAGAAGCACTATTTTAAAGCATTCTGATTCTTTTCTTTCACAGCTCTTGACACAACTTACCATTCTAATTCTATATTTGTCTTTTTTAAGTGACTTCTTTAAGGACTGCATTGGTAGGATACCTTTCAATGAGCAACATAGCACCTACCACAGACCAAGTGCTTGCTCATCCAGTGTGTGTTGAATGAATGATTCCCTAGTACATCCTCAGCTGGGATGGCTCTACTGGTCTTGCTATTCTGTCCTCTGTCTCTGGATGGGCCCTGGGCTGCTGATGGAATCTAAGACTTTAGCATCACATTTAAATGTACATGCTTTTCTTTGTGCAATTGCACATCCCACTAATTGATAGTCATGCTTGGCAGTGAATTAGTTGCTTATTAAATTTTGAAATGCTAATTGTTGTCCACAGAAGCTCAACAAGGGGGAATTTTGTAATGTCCAGTTTTCCTACAAATTGCATGTGAATTTAATGACTGCAAAGGTAAAGCACTGTTGAGCTCAACTTCTAACTAAGGCAATAAAATCATAGATTAGTTCAGCAGAGGGGAAAGGACCTCCTAGAGCAAACTGACCTGTATTCCAATGAGAAATAGAGACTGAAAAATTACGACTGACTTCTCCACTTCTAGGCAGTGTGGTACCCAGGCTTTGCCTTTGCGAGACCTTTGTGTTTTAATACAACCAGTTGGGCCAGAGAAGAGATTCATTGATCAGAAAACAGAGAGTCTGAGGAAGGGAAAGGGCAGAGCTCCTGGGGATAAGTTAGAATAAAAGCGTTAATCCAGATAGGCTTAGCTTTCATGCAGAACGCTAAGAAAATCAGGTGTCGACAGCTACAAAACTTTCACCTTTGATAGAGAATGGGAAGTTGTGTTTCTCCATGCAAATACCCTCTCTAAGTGTTTGCTAATATTTTAATCCAAGGCATTACAGGAGATTCCAACTTGTGCTGGCCAAGGGATGAGTAAGATACTTTGTTACTTCCTTGCAGGACTTTGTAAGGTGACTTCATGCTGGTACAGGAAGAAAGAGGAAGGGGAAGAGAAGACAGTTAGTCCTGGAGGAATTTACAGGGGAAGGACGTCAGCGTCCCTCCACCTCATGGACTCCTTGCCCAGAACGGTTGAACCAGACTTCCTTTAACCCTCTCTAATCCCTCCAGCCAAGATGCCCTCCTTCAGCAATCCATTCCACTCAACCTCTTCCTCATTTCTGTAAAAGTTTATATATTTATGTTCATGATAGAACAAATAATATAATGTGAATGTATCATATAAATTTGCATTAATGTATGTGATGCATTTGCAAACACTTACATGTTATATGTAGACATAAACTTATAATACATCCATGAAGAGCAATAATTTAGTTTATTTATGATGCCTTCACAATTCTTGGCATATAAACACTCAGTTAATTCAGAATTTGCAACCACAGGAGAGCTAGAAATGTACCTTCCAGGTATGTTTACAAGATACTTTTGCGGATGAATCAAACATGGAAAAAACCCACATATATTTATACAATTTACTTGATTGTTTTTACGTTGAGTTAGGGGGAAAAGCTAACTAACACATCTGGAGGGCATAAGCAATAGACCGGGGACTAAGGGCAATAATTTAGCTGTTCCAGCTGTGGTTTCTCAACTCCATAAATTCCCTGGGTAGTTCTGGACAAACCATTACACCTAGCTCAGCTCGTCACCTCTTATCCAGGAAATGCGGATACTGACCCTTGTTTCATGTTTCTGATAGTTAGGTTGCCGAACAGTGAGTAGCGAGCCTGTCGTAAACCACATCAGTAAATTCATTTTTAAACCTGAAGAGATGGAGGGTAAATTCTAAATCACAACCCAACTGGAAATTAAAAGAAATGAGCTTTGTAACTGAATGTCATCTTCAACTTTCTGGTTTTTTTTTTTTTTCTTTTCTTTTCTTCCAGGACTCCATTCCCAGCCCACCTGGCAACTCCCCCCGTAAAGGAGGTAAGATCCTGCAATTAGGAGTAAATGTGTAGTGAATCACCCTCTCACTGTCAGAGGTGTGGTGCCCTGTTACCAATCACTGGGACTGTGCCCAGCAGTTGGGGCTAGGGGACAGGTGGGGTCTGCTTGGGGCAGAGCTGATGCATCTTGATTCACCTAGGAAGTCCCTGACCGGCACTCCCATCCACACAGACTACCCACACTCCCTCAACATTCCCACTGGTGGACACTCTACCCCTGGCCAGACATGCATGGAAGCTGGTGGAAATGCAAAGCAGGATTGTATAGAGAACTTCAAGCCCTACATTGGGCAAGTGCGTGTTTCTCGACTTTCCACCTATGAACCTCAGCTCCTGAGCTCTTAAATGTGAATAATAGTACTCACCTCATTAACATACTGGAGATGCCAATCAGACCCTGTCTATAAATGGCTTGACATAGCAACCAGCTCGTGAACATTGTTAAATAACTGGTAAAAGCCAAGAGGCATAATGAACTTGGGGGCTTGTGAAGACAGACTTACTCCTCCTCCTTCTAATCACTGGCACTGTTAACTCCATCTGGTCTCTAGTAGCCCCAAAAGTATGATAAAGAGAGTTCAGTTAATATGCAGGGTGAAAAACTTGAAGATCATCTGATGAATACTTCATCATTAGAGGAGGAAAAGTAAAACCCAAAGAGGGAAAGCGGAGTGTCTTGCTCAGGGACATACAGGACTAAACCCAAAGGTCTTCATCTCTAAGCCATTTTTTTCACTTAATAACATTATCCCCCCACCTCAGTCCTATATCTGTTAGAACCTGGACAGCAAGCACAGCTGAACAACCAGGAAGTACAAAGGGAAAAAGAAAAGGAGAAGGCAGGAGGCTGTCACAGACACCAGGGTAGGGACACTGAGGTATCCTTGGAACCAAGACCTTGTGCATTTCATACAGACATCATCATACTTGGAATTTCCTTAGTATACTCTGGACCATGTATTTCAGTCTGTCCATCCCCCAGAGACTTAGAAAGTTGGGTCAAGAGCGTCCAGCAACAAGCATTCTAAATCTTTCAAAGCAGTTAAAATATTACAACTTTGTAAACAACGTCTCAATCTTGGTTGAAATTAATTAGTACATAGCCTTGTTTCCCATAATGCCTGTCTAGATGATCACATTACTATAAAAAAGAGCAAAGTAAAATGCAAAACTAAGCAAACTTCTTGTTTACAGCTCCAGATAGTAAATATTTTAGGCTTTGAAAGCCTTGATGTCTCTGCTACAATTAGTCACCTCTGCTGTCACAATGATAAAGCAACCAGACTACACACAGATGAGCAGGCATGGCCCCGTTCCCGTAAGGCTTCTTTCATTTACAGAATGAGGTGTGGTGAGCTGGCTTTGGCCTGTGGATCAGAGTTTGCTAATCTCTGGAGTGGAAACAGTGCAGGCTTTGGAGTCAGAGGTCTGCACTAAATTGTAACACACATTCCTGTAATGCTTTGCAAAAACGGAAATGCACTGTGTCAATGAAATACCCACCCCTCCTCCATCCTTTCACTGTCACATCCACCTGGACTCTCCCAATAAGACTGGATCTTTCATTTTTCTAAAGAAAAAGAAGCAATCTTGAACACGGCCATGATCTCAGGGTCGTGGGTCATTTGGATTAGGCAACAGGCCCTCAGCCATTTTGCATCTCAGTTCCTCACCTATGGAGCACTTCGATCATGTAATAAAGTTTCCATCAGTCCACAGTGGAATAGGGGGAAAGGCATATTAGGCCCTGTTCAGATGGTCAGTTGCAGTTGTCTTTACTATCAAAGCACTCTACCTCTGAGAGTGTGACCTTCCTGCATTCTTCGGTGAAACGTCCTCTTACAGTAAGAAGTTGATGTGGATAGGACTTAAGCTGATTGGCTTTCTGTCTGTTTTTTTAGTTTTATATTAATGATCACAACAGACAAAATAAAAAGCTGCCTGATCCACATTGGTCCTTGAATTTTCATTTTGAGAAAAACTTCTTTGGTTCATGAAATATCCAAAACTCCCAGGCCCATAGGTAGGAATATCAGAACATGAACACAAACCAACCTCAGTTTACAATTCAATGTTTCTGCAGTCATATTTTTTTAAATGCTAATAATACTCCCCACTGGGGTTGTGAAACTTTCATTGAAGAACATGCCACATCTCAGCCCTAACCCCAAAAGCAAACACCATGGGAATTAGTATTCTTGCTTGCAAAGAAGGAACTGAGATTCAGAATCAGAATGCCTTGTCTGAGCTCTCACAAAGAGTCAATGACAGAGTAAAGATAGACGAGTCTCCAGGGCTCTTCCCAATGCCCTACACATGCTGTGCTTTAGCTGTGAGATGCCAGGGTCTTGCTGTCCTGCTGTGTATGGCCCTGGTCTTTCTCCTGCTTTTAATGCAAGTCTACACTTTTCTTGGCTCTGCAAACTTCAGGGTGAGGAGGTGGAAGGAATATTGCCTTAGGGCAAGACCTGGGCTGCAGAACTGATTTCTTTGGGCAAGTTTTTCCTCCTCTGAGTTTCATCCTTAGCTCAACTGCAGTGTACTAAATGAACTGGAAAAGTCTGTCCAGAATTGATGCTTTCTGAGATCATAATTTTGTCTGATATGTAAAGATAGAAGACAATCTCACAACAATCCTGGGGGAATCTGAAGCCCCAGTCCCATTCCACAACAAGCCTATCTTAAACCACCACAAGCAGCAAATTGTTCCTCAGGAAGAAAAAGCCATGGCAAAATGTTCCAGGCAGAGGAGATACACCTTCCAGAAATTCTTTGAAGGCGACTCCGGAAGAAGCAAGAGGCTGTCACTGGAGAGCCCAAGGGCAGAACCTTCCAGGGAGCCATCTGTTGAAGCAGCTGCTGGAACTCATCCACTATCAGCAAGAAACCAACATTGGCCTGAGCCTGGAATGTAGGGCCCTGCACACATGTGAAAGTAACTGAACACAAGATACACTTAGCTATAGGGAAATCACAGAAAACCATGTTTATTTTAATAACAAGTCCTAACACAAGCCTCCAATTCCTGGCCATAAGAGCCTCCAGCCAGCTGCCACCTCACACTCACTCCATGGAGCTCAGGACTCATGAACCCTTCTCAGGGAATGGCTGGAACTGTGCATTAGAACCAGAGGTGAAAGAGGACTTTTCTCCATGCTCTTCTCCTCTCTGAGTCTTATTCTCTCACTTAGAAAAGAAAGTTCATAATGACTTCTGTGTGAAACCACCACGGGGTCATCCTCATGGGACAGCAATGCATCTCCATCTGCTACTTGGTGAAACCTGTATCCCTGAGGCATAGTTTCCAACCTACTGCTTCATATCAAAGAAAATGACCCTACCTCACACCATACACAGTCTGAAATCAAGGAAGGTGGTATAAGGACAACATGCTTCATACATCTCCTCAGCACTTATTCTAGTTGTATGCTTCCACCACATTTACAAGTTCTCACATGTTCATGGCATGTGGTTTATTTGTCCAAATCAAAGAATACAGTCACCATTGCCCTGAATTCTTTGGATTTCAGCAAGACTTCACATTTGTATCTAGCAACCTCTACTAAAAGATTTAGGTTATATGGAAAGCTGCTAGGGCAGTATGTTACACCACAATGCAGTCCAGCAAACAATGATGTAGAACTGAATATGCAATCCCTTTGTTCATGGAAGGAAGGCCTCAGCTATTCCAGCTATTGACGGTTTCTGAAAGGACAGCTTTCCCCTGAGTCTGAGCCCTCTGCTACATGAGGAAACCGACTCACCTTCCTACCTGTATTTATATCCTCTCCTCATTGCCAGCCCCCTCTGCTCACCCCTGAAAAATCTGCCGAAATTTAAATTCTGCTAACTTTATTTTGCAGAATGATTTTGTGCCTTTGCTCACATCTTAAACCTTCCCAATGGTCCTTGGGTCTTTTCATAACATAATACCTCACCAACTAGTAGTTTTGACCTGCACTAAATGAATTTTGTAGGTCATGTTTAAGACAGTTTCCTTGTATCCCCCTCTTCAACCACTGCATATATAGGAGGCCCTGGCAGAGTAAGAATAATGTCATTAATAGGCATCCACAGTGTACCAAAACCAACAGAGTACTTTGTGATGTGCTCATCCGGCCTCACATCAAGCCCAAGGACCATTATGAGCCCTATTTTATCTGTAAGGAAACAGAAACATAGAGCAGATTTCGGACTTGTCTAGAGTTTCACAGCCAGTCAAGAGTGAGGTGGGGCCTCAAATCAAGTCTAACCTGCCTTGAAGCCCTTCTGTTTAGCCAAGGATTAGACTGTGAATCACGTCCCTCCAGGGACCCTACTGCTCACCCAGCATGGATGTCCTGCCCACACTCTCCCGCCTTCTCCAGGCCAGACCCTACTCTCCATCTCCATGTTCCTGAGGCATCTTGTTTTCTTCCTCTGAGGCAGAGAAGGCCAAGGTGGCCACCCTATGTGGGTTTGGGGGAGGATCAAGGACCCAGGATGATCCCATCCTCTTCAGTTGGAAGAGATTTGTCTTTCAGGCAAATGTTCTGTGGCCTCTAACAGTTCCTGGAGACTCTAAGGAAACTGGAACAGTAGACAGACCACTGGAAGGTGCTGAAGACACTTTCAAGGTATCTCCAGCCCTTTCTTGAATTCTGCCACCAGCTGAAGATGGGGAATCAAGTGCAGAGAACTGGGTTGGAATTCAGCCCATCTGCAGTCCAGTCCTGAAACTCAAAGCAACTTACTCTTCCTCTCAGAATCTTGGGATTCCTATTGCTGAACTGTTAGGAAAGGGAGCAAACCAGGGGACTAATCTTGGGATGGATGTTGCTTTGAGTGTAATACTCTATGGATCAAACAAATATCTTAGGATTCTTTAATCATCTTACTGTTCTAACATTTGCAATTTTTACATAGTTTGGCAGTGCACCCTCCTCCCTCATCTCTCTATTGAAAAGAAAATGTAGACATTAAAGGTAACCAGGTGGGATT